TGTGTCTAACAGCAGCAGGGACCTGGCTATACAGGACCCAGAATACAGTCAAGTAGTGCAGATATTCCATTCCAGATGCACGTGAGGCCATGTGGATGCATTTTAGCTGGGAATACAAGGGTCCCATGTGTGCAGGTGGCATGCTGCAGAAGCCCATGGCCAATAAGATGTCTTGAAAGTAAAGTCAGTCTGGGGCCCCAAGAGGAACCCTGTCCAATAGCTAAGTTAGGCACAATGAGAAGCGCTTTTTTCCCTAATTGCTTAAATGTCTTGTTTTTCCAAAACACTGTGGGTTTATTTGGGTTATTGTTTGCAAGGGGAGCCTTGTTCAGTATAGACTAGGAGACAGGCCAGACAGTGACATCTGCACCACTTGAGGACATTTAGGGTCAGCACCAGTCAGCTAGGGATAAGTAGGGCAGCTTCACAGCCTGCAGCAGCCTGCAGCAGAGCATCTGGGCTCACTCTTGGCTCTGGGTATGACTCAGCAGAAAACCCTGGCATCCCTCCCCAGCACTGCCTTCCCTCCCCGGAAATCAGCTGTGATGCTGACAGCAATGGAAAGAGCAAGGACAGGTTACATCTCCTGAGCGCAAAACATGGAAACACAGTTAAACCGTGGAGTTTTTCTTTATTTTGCAAAACAGAGAGGATTTCTTTCAGCAAAAAAGAAAGTTCTTGGTCACTGAAAGATGATGCAACAGTGCCAACTCTTTTGTTGCTGTTGTAATTACTTGGCTTTCTGGAAGGTTTCATCATGTAGCCTAGACTGTCCTGGAACTCAGACTCTTGCTCTTCCCTCACATGGGCTTGGGATTAGATGCATGCAGCACTGACAGGTTTTTAAAAAAACATGCACAATGAGAAAAGAACAAATACCACAAAGTTAAATTTCATTTCTGATTTGCTGGAATTGTGTAAGTGGTTTTTTTTTTTTTAAGGGGTGGGGGAATAGTTTCTTGATACACATTCTATCTCTACTCTTGCTAATGTCAAATACAGTGTACAGAAAGCTATGGTCAACATGGCGTCAGTTACAGAGGGTGTATTCTGGCAGCTTACTGTTGTTTACTGCGATTATTGCTGTCCTCTTAAAGTACTTTGTGACCTACAATCTGGTCATTGTAATGTTTTTTGAGACAGGGTTTCTCTGTAGCTTTGTAGCCTGTCCTGGAATTAGCTCTTGTAGACCAGGCTGGCCTCAAACTCACTGAGACCCGCCTGTCTCTGCCTCCCAAATGCTGGGATTAAAGGCTTGTGTCACCACTGCCGGCTAATCAAACAAAATCTTTCCAACAGATTGAAAAAAATGTGCTGTTCCCCCCCCTTCTTGGTTTTGTTTTGTTTTTAACAATGGGGAGAAGAATCCTTGGCATGCTCGAGATAGTTTGCTCTTGGTGTAACCATTTAAGAAAACCTTAAAATAGTTAGATACAGCTCCCACTTCTCACCATGTTGAACTTTATCAATATCTCTTGCTTATTTAGTCCTAGAGACTCTGACCAAAATCCCTAATCAAAAGAAGCCGTTTAAAACAAAACAAAGCACACAAAAACTCCCAAAACACCTCACCCAGTGAGGTATTAGCAACAGGAGGAATCAGAGCTGAAGCGAAAGCCTTAACTTTATGGCATAGGGTCACGCAGGTGGCATCTAGACCGTCTGACTCCTCTCCCACCTGGATGCCACAAAGCTCTCCACCAGGAACCTGAGGGAAGAGACACAGAATGACGACAACGATGTGGTTGTGCAGAAGGAAGTGCCCTTCGTGCTGGCGCAACTCACTGTCAGTTTCCTGTCTCAGTTTTGGAAACAAAACTCGCCACTTCAAAAGTGCCGGATCTCCGCCCAAGTAAAGGGGGTGATCATCCTGAGGGTGCTTCTGCAGACTCCTCACCCACGAGGGCAGCATGTGGATGCAAAGGGGAGCAGTCTTGATGGAACCTTCCTGTGGAAGGGATCCATGCCATGGGTAGAGGCTGGAAATTGATGTCAACTAAAGGTTTATGTTGTGGCTTTCGAGAGATGTCCCCCACTTCCTTCCTGTTAAAAGAAAAGTATTATTCCTAATGAAGTGAGTACACCTTTCCACTACTAGAGATCCCACTATGGGGACTCTGTGCTGTTCTGGCAGTCATGGGGAGCATTCCTGGACACCACAGCCCTCAATGGTTTGCTTCCAAGACTTAACATGAAGTACGATCTCTTTATCTAGAGTAGTTTAGGAAGGTGATGTGTAATCCCTGAGCCTTCCAGCTAGACTAAACGTGACATAACTTGCTTCCCATTTTCCTTGTTTGGAGTTTATCTTTATGGTTTTCTTTTTTTAAAAAAAAATAATTAACTAATTATTTATTTATTATGTACACAGTGTTTAGCCTCCATGCCTATAGGCCAGGAGAAGGCACCAGATTTCATTACTGATGGTTGTGAGCCACCATGTGGTTGCTGGGAATTGAACTCAGGACCTCTGGAAAAGCAGTCAGTGCTCTCACCTCTGAGCCATCTCTCCAGCCCCTCTTTATGGTTTTCTTTGCATGGAAGGTGTATAGTGATATGTGCAATAAAGATAAATGCAAGGGTAGGTATGCTAGACTGCTGTATTTAGGATAATGAAGAAAGGACACCAAAAGCATAGTTTGAATCAGTGACTGGGGAAAGTCAAAAAGGAAGTCCCTGTGTATATCCGGGAGAGCAGCACTTCAGACAACAGTTTAAGAACTCCAGCACTCAGAAGGCAGAGCCAGGCAGATCTCTGTGAGTTTGAGGCCAGCCTGGTCTACAGAGCTAGTTCCAGGACAGTCAGAAATCCAGAGAAACCAGACAGTCAGAGAATCCCGTCTCAAAAACAAAGTTTTCTGTATGTAAAATGATACAAGCACTTTGCAAGGGTTTACTGCTTTAAAAAATTGAAGTGAGCATGGGGATATAACCCAACTGCTAAAGTTCTTGCCTTGCAAGTTGGAAAACTGGGTTGGATCTCTAGATACAACTTAAAATAAAAATCCCACACTAAAAAAAAAAGCTCTGTGTGGCATTGCATGCTTATAACCCCAGCTCAAGGGAGGCAGAAACAGTGGCACCACCCAGCTCATAGGCCAGCTGGCCTAGCTTATCTGATTAAGTTCTTTTTTGTTGTTGTTTTGGTTTTTTTGTTTGTTTGTTTTTTGAGACAGGGTTTCTCTGTAGCTTTAGAGCCTGTCCTGGAACTAGCTCTTGTAGACCAGGCTGGCCTCAAACTCACAGAGATCCACCTGCCTCTGCCTCCTGAGTGCTAGTATTAAAGGCCTGCGCTACCACCGCCCAGCACTTGATAAATTCCAAATTACTACAAGACCTGTCTCAAAAAGAGATAGATTGGACTGGGTGTCCATACCTTTAATCCCAACACTTGGAGGGAGAGGCAGGGAGATCTCTGTGAGTTCCAGGTCAGTCACAGCTTCATGGTGAGATGCGATCTCAAACATGAGACAAAGATGGATGGTTCCTGAGGAATGCTATTTGAAGTTGTCCTCTGGCTTTCATGTACAAGCACAAATAGACACAAAGTGAAAACATTCCCAAGGCAAAGCTAGTGTGTAGCAGGTTCACTGCATTGGTATATCCCCATATAATTACAAACAAGTAGACATGCCACAGATCTGGAGTCCATTGTGAGCTGCTCTCCCAAGATTCAGCAAAGCTGCCAAGTCAAGAGAACAGAATATCCCCCATATAATTACAAACAAGCAGACATGCCACAGGCCTGGAGTCAATTGTGAGCTTCCCTCCCAAGACTCAGCAAAGCTGCCCAAAGTGGAAGAAATCTTGCCTACATTTGCTCCACTTCCGTTGTAGCCAAGAAGGCCCAGAAAACACACCTTGGGTTTTTACAATTGGTGTATATGGCAATATGATTCATGGGGTCAATATATTAAAGGGCCTTCTGTTACTAATGAAATCTGGACCAGAAGTTAGACTGTTCTGGCATCCCAGGCTGCTACAGTACTGCTTCATTCTGTGACAGGGATAAACCCAATGACGTTGAATGACCAGCAGCCAGACATATAAAGAGTTCACATTGATTCCATTTACATGAAACAAATCTATAAGGCCATTTCAGATAGGCAATTCTTTGGAAAAGGTGTGGGTGGAAAGGGTTACAGATATGTTCTAGGTTCACTGTGGTCTCAAATATAGATATGCATACAAATACACCAAAGCAATTTTAAACATGTATAATGAATGCCAATTGTATATTTAAAATTAAAAAAAAAAAACCACAGTGAGATGGGGGTGGTTAAGAGCACTGACTGCTCTTCTAAAGGTTCAGAGTTCAATTCCCAACAACCACATGGTGGCTCACAATCATCTATAATGAGATCTGGTGCCCTCTTCTGGCCTGCAAGGATACAAGCAGACAGAACACTTTATGCAAAATAAATTTAAAAAATACAGTGAGACAACATATTTTAAAATCAAAATTGCTAAAATTTGAGTTAAATAGCTCAGTCCTTAAGGGGATGAAGAAGTGGGGACAGGTGGATCTCTGGGAAGCTCTATGCCAATGAAACACCATCTTAAAAACAAAACAAAATGCCAGGCGGTGGTGGTGCACGCCTTTAACGCCAGGACTCAGGAGGCAGAGGCAGGCAGATCTCTGTTGAGTTTGAGGCCAGCCTGGTCTACATAGAGTTCCAGAACAATCAGTGCTACACAAAGAAACCCTGCCTCCAACAACCAAAAAACAAAACAAAAAACCCCCAAACCAAACCCAAATCCAAAGTGGACATACCTCTGAAGAACAGTAGACAGTGCCTCTGAGGAACAAACATCAGAGTTGTCCTTGCCCTATGCACACACTGACGATACTAATTGTTAGTCAGGGTGTAATCGGGACACTCACCTCTTCTTGATGGGATACAGAATAGTACATCTGTTTTGGGATGTTTTAGTTTATTATAAAGTTAAACATACATGGCAGCAATCCCACTATCACACTCAAGGGAAAGAAAAGTTGTTCACATAAAACCCTATACAGAGTTGGGCAGTGGTAGCACACACCTTTAATCCCAGCACTGGGGAGGCAGAGGCAGAGGCAGATGATCTCTGCGAGTTTGATGCCAGCCTGGTCTACAAGAGCTAGTTCCAGGACAGGTACCAATGCTACACAGACACTGTCTCGAAAAACCAAACCCCCAAAAATGTACACATAAAAGGTTTATGGCAAGTTTAAAATTAAAAACATCAGACCTTAAGTATCTTTTAGCTGGTCAATGAATAAGCAATGTGCAAGACAACTATATAATGAAGTAACTCAGCAACAGAGGGAAGAGTGACCAGCCAATCCATTCTGTAGCACAACCTCAAAAGCAGTATCTAAATGAAAGAAACCCTACCCAGAAGTCTACACACTAATTCCAACTGCACAGCATTTTAGAAAAGAGAAAGAAACTGCATGAGCTATGAAACTGTAGCAACTGGGAGGATGGAATTTGGGGCTGCTGGAGTTTCCTTTGTTGGGAGCACTGAAGTGCATCTAGAAAGAGATGCATTTTAGTTTTCTTTTTAAAGTCATCTCAGAGCTATGGCCGGGCTTCGTTCAGATGCGAGAGACCTTTATATAGCATACACAAGTTGGATCAAAAGGTTTGACAGGGTGTTCTACTGTGAACTTGTGTAAACTCACGACTGTTCTTGTGTGTTAAATTGAATATAATCTTAATCCCCATGTCATGCAAATATAAGCCTGAACAAAAAGTTATTGATAAATTGTTACCCTCAATGTAACTGATATTGGTGTTCTCAAAGGACTCAAGTGTTTGTAGTAAGCCGTCAGTAGAAGAGATCAGGTCTATCAATCATGTGTTAAACAATTTAAATGTTCATGACTGCCGGATCTATAAACACCTGAGATCTTCTAGAAAGCAGACCCTGAGGCAAGAATTTAGGTCACTGGCATTTTCTTTGGGGTATATACACGAGTGGTGAAGAAAAGGTCTGAAGCGGGGACCAAAGCCATGTGATATAATGTGCTGCACAGCTTTAGGAAGCCAAGAAGACAGCAGGTAGCCTGGCATGGTGTTTCTAGTCTGGACGGCTCTTTAAGTGACACTATGTAAGTAATCCACAACAGGACAGGAAGGGTGTTTGTTTGCTAGGCTCTTCCTATTCTCCCCAAGGGGATTGGATTTTCCACCTTTCCAGATCATCATTGCACCTTCTCTACCAGTGGCCCAGAAAGCCTGATCCCATGGCCTATTGTGTACCATTCTCCTTTATTTGAAAGTGGGGTCATAAAAAAAGACCTGATGTGGAACTAGACATACTATGTAGGTCCAGAGTCAAGTGTCTTAATTGGCTTAGAAATCTTTGGTTTTGTTTTTTCAAGTCAGGATTTCTTCTGTGTAGCTCTGGCTATCCTGGAACACACTCTGTAGAGCAGGCTGCCCTTGAATTCAGAGATCTGCCCGTCTCTGCCTCCAAAGTGCAGGGAAGGCAAAAGAGGGTATACCCTCCCTTGGAAAAAGAACTGTCATACAGGATGGGTTCAAGGACTCTGACATGGTGGCACAGAATCTGGAGAAGCATGATACATAAATAATGACACAAGGTACAGTGTGTAGAAAGAGATCATTCATTGGGGGTAGGGTTGGGGGAAAAGACTAGAGTGGTTCCTATAGCTGAATATGAGTGGCTGGCTCAGAGACCACAGGACAGATCACACCAAAGAACAACTTTAAAGACAAGGCAAAGTGTATGGCCTAGTATAACCACAAAATGGGTATACAAAACACAATGAAGAACTCGAAAAGTCAGCTTGCGGACAGATACAAAAAGCCTTGGCAGGGAGAGGAACACGGAACCCCAATGCCATAAACCACCTGACACTTCCAAGAGGAAAGGAACACATAAGAACTTGTTTTCAGGACACAATTCTGGGCAACTATTAGTGGTACTAGAAAAGATGTTTGATTAGGATTCCACATGTGATCCCTCCTAATGTGAGTGTATTAAACACATAACAGTCAAGATTAAAATGTAGGGCTGTTTTTTTCTTTTTTTAAAGAGTTAACTCTTAGAAATTAAAATTTAGAGCTTGGCATTGGAGCCTGTACCTGGAGTCTCCCCAGCTCAGGAGAACTAGGGCAGGCAGACTGCTTGAGTCTTGGAGTTCAAGGCCAGCCTGGACAACATGCTGAGACCCTGTGTCTGGTTTTTTTTTTAAGGCATATAGAAAATCTTCTTTTATATTTTTACGATGTTTATATAAATCATATAGATATTAAGATCAGAAGGGGACTGGAGGTATAACTCAATAATAGAGCACATGTCTAGCATGCACGGGGCCCTAGGTTCAACTGCAGCACGGCTAGCTCGGTATATCAGAAAAATACTAAAAAAAGAAATTACATGAAAAGGCTAAATAAAAATAAAATAAAATCATAAATAAATGAGAGGTCTCAGGAAAGAAATCTAACATCCAACTAGAAGTTGTCTTAGAGTTAGGGATTAATGCTAGTAAATAGCATTAAATAAGATGGTTTAGTGGTTAAGGGCAGTGGTTGCTGTTCCAGGACCTGGGTTCGAATCCCAGCACCCACACAGCAGCCCACAACTGTCTGCAACTCCAGTTCCAGAGGATTCGACAACCTCACACAGACATACACACAGGCAGAACACCAAGCATAAATAAATATTCAATTTTTTTTCTTGCAATTTACCAGACTGAAAGGATTCACTTGGTCTGTATCATTGCGGATAGAAATTATGACATCTGAGATATAGAAGACTCTAAGACTTCAAGAGAAAAATTTACAGGGCACAGAAAAATATTCTAGATCAGAAAAGATTTCAACAACCAGCAGTGAGGTCGCAAACAGCAGCACTGGGAGTGTGCACCTGGAACTGCAGCTACAGGAGCAGAGAAACAAACGGATGCACTTCTGTGATTCAGCTATTCAAACCGTTTACATCCCGCCCAGCTCTGAGAAGACATAACTGACCAAATGGGAAATTAGTCATGAAAATCGTACCCTGGGAACCAGGAGTCTTAAAGAGGGTTCGAAGAAAAGACAAGAGGAAAGAGCCCAGGTCAGGAGCTGTCCCGGGTGTAATCAATCGGCAGTGTGCTTCCTCTGGACTAAGTTGTTTCCTCAGATCCTATGTTAAAGCTCTAAGCTCCAGCATTTGAAATACTACTGCATTTGGAGACCAAGACTTTAAAGAGGCAAATAATGTTAAAATCAGGTCTCTAAGGTGAGCCCTGATCTAATGACTGACATCTTTAAGAGAGAACTACAGAGCATCTCAGCCTCACAGCACCTGAGCCTGTGGGAGGAAGGGGGAAGAGATGTAAGACACAGTGACCACATGAAAACAATGAGGTTCAGCCATCTACAAAAACCAATTCTTGCTGACTCCTTCACTTTGCCAGCATTCAGAACTATGAGAAACAGAATTCCTGCACATTGCATCACCCATCTGATACTCCACGATAGCAGCCCTACCAACCAAACTTGGTACCTAACCTGAACACTTTAAAAATTTCCAGGAAAAGAGTCAAACCAAAGAGCACATCACTCACACTGAGACTGTCTACAGGGCCACTGGATATAGAGGATGAATTTGTGATGTATCAATGAAAAATGGCCAAATGAGGCAGAAATGTGAAGCAAAGGGGAGACTTAAAAGAACCTACAACCATGAACACCATGGCTCATGCAGACTAACATTTACCTAGTAACGTGAATGTCATCAAAAGCTGGGAAGAGCTTTGGGGTGGGCAGGCTGAGGGCTAAATGTTCATGTGCTGTAGGAAGAACTCATCAACATATATTATCACAAATTGGAAAATCAAGAAATGGTGATCTGTAAGAGTATTCCTTAAACAACAGAGGAAGATACACAGAATAAGGCAAAAATACTTGAGCTGGCTACCTCTATGACTTTATAATTGAATGTTTTTTACATGGTAATCTCAGGAAAGCTACCCGAGAAAATATTCATGTGTGCCTTTAAAATAACAATATAATTTAAAAAACTACATAGATAGACCACTGGAAACTTTAAAAAGAAGTGGCTGCTTCCTTTCACTAGGCCTTTGGATGGTGTGACATGGACAGAAGCCAGACCAGTGTGTGTAAGAATGAAAGCTCAGTTATCCAATGATAAGCGAAGCTTTTAAGAAGGTGTTGGTAATCCAAAGGTAGAGACAGGAAGGCAGCAGAGCGCATGCAATGACCCTCTGCTGGCAGTGTCCTCCGCAGAAGCTGCTTTGCCAAGCTGTTCTTTACACCTTCAAAGCTGGATGCTCTGCTCTACCTGCCCCGGCTTTGTCCTCTTATTTCACAATTGCCTGATCCAGTTTCTTACAATGCTAAACCTTCAGATATATTCTGGGGAAGAATTCTGCAGGGGGAGCCTTGGAGCAAGAAGCACTTTGAATCTCTGTTAAATGTGGTAAGTAGAGAAAAACTTTAAGAGTCATCACTTGAGCGTGAAGAAACCTGACAGAGCAAATTAGTCCCATTAGGCCAGACTAGAAGAGCTGCTGAAGCTTCCTCAGGGTCGGACTTCACATGTCCACACACGACAGAGAAAATAGCTACCATATGTGGCATCAGCATTACAAATTCTCAAAATCAGAGGCTTTAAAGACAGAAGCCAAATTAATTGCCCAGGCATTCATCAAACGCTTGCTGTGGACTATATGACGTGTCATGATGAGCAACTTCCTGAGTGAGTTCTACAGCAGAAGTAATTAGCACCCCAAGTAGCTTGAAGTGTGTTCCAGAGGAAGAGCACCACTGCATTGTGGGAGGCCCCTGGACAAATCCTGAACAGAGGGCTGCAGGGTCAGTACCACCTGTCTTCCAGGATAACCAAGGATGGATACAGTCCTAGTCTGTTTGACCTTTAAAATCTACAGAGGTTTTCAAGCTTTCTGGACAGTTCTACCCTGTTGGTAGCAGTGACTCTGTCAGATAAATTATAATTTAACTAGCATTCTGGTTATTGGTTAGTTTCCTCTTGCCCAACTTAACAATCAGTCCCTAAAAATTTACACTTCTCTGGGTTAGGTGGTTAACCTGGCAGTTCAATAAGAAGTTGGTTAAATTCTGACCCTGATCACCAAGGAAAGAACGCTGAACAGAGTCCCATAAGTAAAGAGAGAGTAAGTGCCAAATAAATTGTCTATTGGCTAGATTTTTAGTAGGAAATTTGAACAGTTACGATAAAAAGACACCCCTGAAGACTGTTAGTAACAGAACATGGTAAGACACTATGAACCTTTTTGCACCTACACATACAGTTACAAGTATGGACAGAGGAAATAGACAGGGAAAATAAAAGGCAATTAAAACATTTGCAAGTTAATAACAGTTTACCCATTCAGAAACCTTTGAGAAAAGCTGAGCCTAGAATGAGAAGTGTTCTGGACTGCAATAGCCATCAGTAATGCAATTCATCTTGAAACTTAACACACAGAAAGGAACATCTTAAAAAGTTAAAAAACATTTTTAAAAAGTTAAAAAATGTTAAAAAAAAATGTTTTAATTGCTTTGACCTGATTTTATTAAAAGTAATCCAGCTGTCCTCTGTCCAGCTCTGATTTCAGGTGGCCCCTGTAAGAGCCCATCCACGTGTGCCTCACTGGATTCATCCCTAGTAGGCTGGGTAGAACGGCCTCTGGTAACTACCGGAAATCCACTTCTTATTCTGGGTTGCTTGACTACCATTTTGCTTCACGCTCCAGAAGAATCTTCTCTGAAAATAGTACTCTTCAGCCGGACCAGGAAGAGGGATAAGGCCTCTCTGGTAAACACTCTGGTTGTGTGAAAATTTTCTTAAACAAGAAATAGTAAATCATTGTCAGGATTAACATTTTATAATAGACTTTATAAAATAACAGATATTCTGATTTTACTCTTGCCTACCTAGATGACTCTATTTTTTGTAGAATGGAGCTAGGACTGAGGAGATGGCCCAGTGAGTAAAGCTCTGCTGCACAAGCATGAGGACTTGGGGCTGGATGCCCAGAACCCAGGGAAAACTGAGAAACACTAGCATGTGTCTGCAATCCCTATGATGAGATGAGGGAAAAGACAGGGGATCCCTAGAAGCTCGAGGGAAACTGGCTTAGCATGTGCAGTGGAACACAGGAGGCTCTATCTCAGACAAGGTGGGGTGTGAAGGGTAATAGTAGAGGTTATCTTCTGGCCTCACACGCATGCCCTCTATACACACACACACACACACACACACACACACACACACACACACAGTCAAATATGATTAGCTGTTTCTTTGGTCTCTATACCTTTTGATCTTTTTGACTGTTGTTACAGGAAGTTGTGAGCAGCCATGTAGATACTTGGAATCGAACCTGAGTCTTCTGCAAGCCAGTACACTTAACTGCTGAGCTATCTTTCTAGCTACTGTATTTTAGTATTATAAACAAGCTTTAATTTCAGTGGCTTTATAAAATGTCACAGTATGCTTATGGTTACTTAAGTATATGACCACTCAGAATCACAGGTTACTACCAGTTTTCCTACCATCACATACTACCGTATGCTGAGCACCTAGTTCTGTCTGAGACAGTAGGATTTGAGAAGTATAGTCTCAATATGGAATTGGCCAGGTATGACCATCTTTATAGCTATTAAAACTGATTCAAAAGGGTTACTCCCACTCTCAAGGTTACCATCAGCATCTTTCTGATAGTGTAACAATGTAACAACTTGCTTTAACAGATGTAGCAGGCAACAGCCATAGTTACGGGTTGTTTCAAAATCTTCATCTCAAAGAATGGAAATTAGAGATGTGGTCTCACCCAAGATTGCACACGGTGTGAATGGCAGAGTAAGGAGACAAGTTCACACCCAGCCTGATAGTCATGGCCCTCAAGTGCTCATAAAAACCACAATTAAATTAGCAGCTAGGAGTATCCGACAAGCTGTGGTAGTTATCTTAGGTGGCATCTGGACTAAAGTTAGTGGGGCATTACTGCTGCATCTGCCAACAAGAATGTCTCTGAAAAAGGCTGATGCACGAAGAGCAGACTGCGTAAGGAAGATCTGCCTTCCATGTCCCAGGCACCACCGCCTGGCTGGGACTGCAGGAAAACTACAAGGGCAGAGGAAAGGCAAATTTACGCTTTCCTGACCTCCCATCCCCTCCCTCATGGTTCCTCAGGTTTTCCCTTAGGACTCTTGACAGAGAATTACCATGTTCCCTGGGTCTGGACCACACTATTGGCAACCTTGGGTCTCCAGCTTACAGAGGGCTTGCTGAGAAACTTTTCATCTTACAGTCATGCATGCCAATCACCCTAGTGAAGGCCCCTTCTCATCTACCTGTCCACTTTCTCTCTTCCACTTGTCTGGAAAATCCTAATAGACTATTTTAACTGAATTAAGAATTTCCCCATTTCCCATGTGAAATACTTGTATGATTTAATCTGTTCAAACCATTTGTAACTATCTCTATTAGGATATTATTATCCTTCAAAACTTGTTATCTTTCTCTCTTCCTTGAGACAGAGTCTCATTTAGTCTAGGCTAACCCTGCACTCACGATATAGCCAATGATGAACTCCTGATCTTCCTGTCTCTACTTCCCAGTGCTGGGATTGCAGGCACTGACTACCCTGCCTGGTTTTGTATTTGTTCTTTAAATGATAGCCTTTATTTCAAAAACTATGTAGCCTAAGAATTCAAGATTAATAAAGCCTAAGAATATAGGGGCATACCTCAGAGGTCGAATCTTGGGTCTGATTCTGTGTACAAGTGTCACACACACACACACACACACACACACACACACACACACACACGAATGAAAGATTTTATTTCCCAGTAACAACATCTAACTCTTCCTGGATTAAACTAAATTTAAAAATAGTAAAATAAAATTTTCATTCTCAATTGCCTCTGAAGAGCACATTTCCCCAAGTACTTGGTTTGCAGAGCAGTGTGAGCCCTGCTGGCTGACAATGGAAGAAAATACCAACTGCTGGCTATTGTTACAATGCACTTTCCTGGTCTGAAGTAGTTTCCATCTCAGTTCTAAGAAAGGGGGAAGTCCGGGTACCTGAACAATTGCTGGGAGTACTGGGACTGGGTGTAAAAATGTCGGGAAGGTATTGGACGACCAGCAGGCCAATGGTTCCGAGGTCCTTGGTTCACAGGCTTCTTAGTGCTGTGGACTTGTTCAGTAAGATGTGCTGAGTCTTCAAGATCACCTGACTTAGACGTGCTAGTATTCCGTTTCCTAAAAGAGAAGTATCCCATGGTGTCACCAGATTACAGTTCTAGTGGCCAGTTTAGTAACTATCTCCTTTGGTGGGTGAACAGAGTACCTCAACTCCCCTACTCCTGTTTGTTTAGTGCTCAGTAAGTGGACAAGATGCCTGGATAATGTGCTACTTGAATTATACTAAAGAAGTTTCCCTAACCAAAATCTCACTTAGCAAAATGGAAGACTTACTTTTTGACACGACGATTCTGCAGGTTTTCAATGTAGTTCTGTCTTTCTATGCAGTGCCCCCGGCAGCTGTTGAATACTGAGGAGTGGATGAAGATGAACTTAGAAATAGTGGCACAGAAAGAAATCTTACCCAGGAAAGCAAACCAACGCTCCTACTCACTGACTGTCATTAGGTTGCTGTATCTCACATATCGCTTGCAGATATGTTCCTTCACAAGCTATTGGCAAGACTACCTTATAGTGCTATTATTTTTCTTTCTTTTGGTACTGGAGATAAAACTCAGGGTTCCACACACACTGAGCAAGTGCTCTACCATTGAGCCACATCCCCAGCCCCAAGAGGTAGTTTCCTCTCTTCTCTCTCTTCACTATCTTTCTGGCATATATTGGATCATATGAATTTTGTTCTCCAAAAATTGAAAAGTGGCTCTACACTTCCAACTTTAGCTTTTATAGGAAGGGAAAAATGGTGACACCCCCCATACTTACATTCAATTGCATCATCTGGCCTCATGCCTTCTACATCAATCAAATATCTAACAAAACAACATAAGTTGGGTCACTTAAATATACCAAAAGAAAACAAAAATCAGAACAGGTCCAATTTCACTTACAAGTGGAGACATAAATCCTAAGAAAATACTACATATCTAATCCAACAGTTACAGAATGGCATGCCATGACCATAGGAAAAAGACTACCCCAAGATTGACCAACTTTAGAAATCTATTAATAAAGATACTTACATTAATATAATAATATAAATAATAAAGGAAATTCATGACCAAACTGGCAAGTGCTTAAAAGGCAGATTCAGTAGTCACTTTCATCAAAATGTTTTTTGAACTAAAATACAGGAGACTTTCTTAATATTACTGTGTATTCATCAGCAACCAACAACATATAAAGCAACTGGGAAAAATATTAACAGAGCTAAAATACTGGGAAACCAACTGGATGGGTCAAAAACAGGAGCTACCATCACTGTCACCCATTCTTCCCTCATTCTCACCTTCAATCTACCACCAGGATCCTGACAGCCACATCCTTCCACCAAAATGCCCTTGACATCTTGGTCCAAGAGACCATTATACTTCAATTCATACAAAAACCTAACAATTCCTTGCCTCTACCTCTTTAGAGCATTCTTTACTCAGAAGTAGATGGGTTCAGTATACCCCCAAAAGGTTCAAAAACAACAAGCAGAAACAAACAGACCAAAACACTGCTCTGTATGGCCTAACTATGGCTCCTGCCTGCCAGAAGAGCTCCACTTGTTTGCCACACTTGCTGCACTGCCCACCGACCTCCTCCAGCGAAGCATATGCTATACTACTCTAGGCTCCTAGCTGAACCTTCGTCTACAGTCTCTTCAGTGTCTCTACACAGCTAGCACTAGTTCAGCCTTCAGATAGTCTCTCAAACTTTCCATGCAAATGTACTGTCTTCTTGACAGTTAGGTCCAAGCCTCCCCACCATGGCATCATGTTCCTATCCTCCTCAGCACTTGACAGTGATAGTTCTAGAGTCTTCTTGCTATTATCTTTACTATTATAGTCTTCCTTCCTTTTTCAGAGGCAAATTAAATATTTTTACCAGCAGCCATACTGCTCATACAAATTAGATCTCAGCAAAGCTCTTCTGAATGGACAAACATAATGTTGCACAGAACAGCAATTCCTTAAGAACCATCAGACCACACCCTAATTCAGTATCTGCATGTCATGTGACATTATTGCTGAGTCAGGGGCATGTGGATTCAAAGATGCACATACCACTTTTATGTTTTATTATACCCCAAACTTGTGACTTGCATGTTTGTCAGTATGTAAAAAAACAAACAAACAAACAAAAAAAACCCACCAGTATAATCTTTAAAAAATAAGGTCTCCAAATACTTTCACAGGGAGGTACCTACCACATATTAAATTGTAACTCTGGATGTTTACTGTACTCTAAGCCATACAGATGCACTCTCTCTGCATCTGTAAAGTCTACAATGGTAGTCTCTGGGTGGAGAAAACACTGCTCTATATTTCACTCATTTCCATGTATGCTTACATTACCATTGTAATCAGACAAACACACTAAACACTATTTGCTTTTGGGTTGGCAACTCACCTGCAAATGAGGTAGCCAGTCCTGTTTAGGCCATGGGTGCAGTGGACACCAATAAGTTTGTCTATAAAACAGGAAATGCAGAATTAAGTAAAGGAAACAAGATATACCATAAGTAAATTAAAGACAATTTTCTAAAGAGCAACACAAATTAGTGAAATAATACTGCTATGTTGAAAAGTGGCATTAGAAACACATTATCAAGAATCACCTACCAAAAGCTCACTGTTGTGGAAATTTTGTAAAATCTGGTTAGATACAATGATGCAAACTGTAGAAGCAGCCATTTGGTTAAGCTGCCTTACCATGAAGAGGAAACTAGAATGTGTTTCTGTGTGTGCAACACTGAAGTTTGAAACTGGGCCTTTGTAAGCCAGGCAAGTGCTCTGTAATTAAGCTACAGACTTCATCCCACCTTCATTTTGATAATAAATAACAATGACAATTGTACTCAAAAGGGAAACAGCAGGAACACCTGAAGTGTGCGTGGCAAAGATGAAATTCTACTGGCCTGCCCATGCTCTGTTCTCTTGGGAGACTACTTCACTCCTAACCTTGGTCTTCTAGGGAACTGACTCACTCCTTAACCTTTGACTTCTGTTGTCTCTATGCAACTTGCAGACCCTAAGATTCTTAATCTTCTACATATCACCCTTTAACTACAGGAAAAGGTAAACACTTCCATCATATTACACATTTCTCACTCGAGTTTTGTTTCTGTGTGGCCAACAAAAGGGAAAACACTTTATTACTACCAGCTGCCATTTTCAAAGACAACATACTTAAATTAGAATATTAACAATATCAAAAATCTGAACTATCAAAAGTCTGGAGACTGCGCTGGAGAGATGGCTCAGTACTTGAAAACACATCTGCCCTAAAGGGCCCAAATTTGGTTTTCCAGCACCTATGTCAGAAGACTCACAACTCTAGGTGGAGGGAATCTGAAGTCTCTGGACTCTTTAAGTACCTGCATTCATACATACATAGCAACAAGCACACACACATAATTAAAATAAAAAGGATTTTAAAAGAGTTTCCAAACCTATTTGAAATGCACAACAGAGTTCAGACATAAAAGAAAAAGAAACTACAAGGACTCACCATTGTCTTTGTTTTTCTTTAAAAACTCTTTAACTGCACATTTGAACTTAAGAATAGTGCCATTATCAGGTACCTGATGGCCAGCTGTAAGAATTTTTATGTAAGAAATAGTTTCTGGCAAATCCTACAAAGTAAAAAAAAAAAAAAAAATGTACATTATTTCATTTGCATATAATGAAGATTTGAGGAGCATGAGTGTAAGTAGATACTAATAAACTTACTATCACAGCAACTCTGACTACAGAGCCACTTCTTACAAAGCTGTTCCCACCAGGAAACAGCGCTTGATTTTCATTAAAACTATGGGACAGTCACTAGGTATACAAAACACACCAAATTCCACATGGATGAGGGTCTATATGGTGTGACTAAAAAGTATGTGGACAGTTCTAATTATTTCACCTTACTGTGTCTTCACAAAACAGTAATAAGCTGAGCAAAAAGAACTGTGGATAAGAGAAAGAAGTGGGAAGGGTAGGCGCTGGAGAGATGGCCCAGAGCGTAAGAGTGCTTGCTGCTCTTCCAGGACGCAGTTCAGTTCTCAGCACCCATGTCTGATGGCTCACAACAGCCTGGAACTCCTGCTGCAGAGGATCGGGAGTCCTCTTCTGACCTCAGCAGGCACCTGTACACATGTGGCAGACACAGACAAGCAGATACAGCCACACACACAGCCACCCCCCAACACACACACATACACGTAAATTTTAGAAAAAAAAAAAAAGATCGGTTAGGTGAAAAATATGTAACTCTGGATTTAAGTGGAAAACACTATCATGATTTTTACAGAGTTCTTAGCTCTGTCCACAGAAAAAGCTTCAGAACAATGTCAACAATGTCAATGAATATACCTGACACTCACATGCCTGAAAAATTATCCCCACTGAAAGGAAACAAAGCCTTCTGAAAAGGCTGAGTCAGGCTGGGGCAGGGAACAGTTAAGATGAGTCCGGAATTCTTTCATGCAAAAAAGTAATCAGAGATGATCAGGACATGTCAAAAGATTAGGACTAAGAAATGGTTTAATCTAGCTGAGGAACTTTGGCAGCTAAGAGCTACCTGGGAAGGGAGAGTCAGTTTTCTTCAGGACTGCAGCCCTGGGTAGTTGGCCATGTTCCAGAAGGTGGTATGACACCCACGTGCACTTGGGCAGCACTAATTCTGAACTCAGTGGCGTTGGGCCTTTAATCCCAGCGCTCAGGAGGCAGAGGCAGAAGCAGGCGGATATCTGTGAATTCGAGGCCAGCCTGATTTATAGAGCGAGTTCCAGGCTTCCCAAAAAGCCTGTCCCAAAAAGCAAAAGTGGTGTCGAGGTAGGGTAGAGAAATGGCTCAGAGGGTCAGAGCTGAAAGAAGCTCTAACAAGAGCAGTACTTGCTGCTCTTGCCAAGGACCTGGGCTAGGTTCAGTTCCTAGCACCCATATCAGGCACAAAAACACCAGTAACTCCAGGTCTAGCGAATCTATTACCTTCTTCTTCCACTGCCCACAGGCACCTTCAAGCATGTGGTGAACATACAAAAAATAAATAAATAAGTAAAAATAAAAAATAAAAAAAAGAAGGGCAAATCACATAAAAAAGAAGAGATGACACTGGGAGTGCAGACCAGGAGGAATCAGCTGCGCTGTGGGGTAACTGTGATCAAAAACAAATTATTCATGTGTGAAATTCTCAAGAATATTTTTCAAAAAGTTTTAGGGGCCAAATGGAGAAGTTCCAATTATCTAAAGAGAGGCCTTCCAGCAGTGCTCCAACTGGAAAAAGCAGCTGCAGAGGAGTTTGTAATGAGAGGAAAAATTGAATAAATTCTGACTAGTCAATATTGGCAGGTATTAGGGACCCAGGAGATAACTTTGATGAAGTTGTTACAAAGAGGAAAGAATCCTGTTGACACCACTGAGTAAATAAACAAGCAGAAACTTCATTAAATGAACATGAATGGTAACGTTCACCTTGTACAGCCTGGTATGGTGGCATACACCTGTAATCCTAGACAACTGGGAGGTTGAGGCAGGAAATCTTGAGTTTGAAGTCAGCCTTTGCTACACAGCAAGAGCCTGTCTCAAAAAAGAAAAAAGAAAAAAAGAAAATCAACTTTTGAAGCTTCAAAGGAATTAACAGATCAGTTATCAATAATTACTAATAACTTAAGAGACAACCACTGATTATATGCCCCTTAATGGAAGAACACATGACCACCTATGAAAATGTCTCATATCAGGCATAGTGGCACACCCTTATAGTCTATGTGTCCCAGTAGGCTGGGCAGAAGGACCACTTGAACACAGGAGTTCAAGATCAGCTTGAGCAATATAACAAGAACTCATCTCAAAATATACAGAAACACTGGAAACTGTCATATTAAAGAAAATCAAGGCAGCCAGACCAATGGTTCACAGTTAAAAGCCTTTACTGCTCTTGTAGAGAATAAGTTCTGGTTCCCAAAACTCATATAGCTACTCCAGCCATCTGTAACTCCAGTTCCAGTGGATCTGACACCCTTTTCTAACTTCTGTAGGTTCCACCATGAATGTGGTGCACATAAATTGATGATAGCACACAAACATACACATTAAAATGAATAAAGATTTCTAAAAAAGGAAATCAGTCTGGGTGTGGTGGTCCATGCCTGTAATCACAGTATTTAGGACATAGAGGCAGGAGGATCAGGAGTTTAAGGACATCCTCAGCAATTGAGGACAGTCCTGGCTATTTGAGACACTATCTAAAGTTTAAACAAAAATTCAAGGCAGGTGGAGTACTGAATATCTGTAATTCCAGCATTAGAAAGACTGAGGCAGGAAGACCATGCGGTCAGCAAGGGCTACATATTAAGACTCTGTTTCAAATACCAAATCCAAAACAAAACAGTATGGAAAAGAGGGAAGGAAGGTAGGAAAAGGAAAGAAAAGGAAAGGGAGAAAGGAGAAAGGAAAACAGTCTTGAATCTGGTTGTGCTAGCCCACTGGCAGAGAACAAAGAACTCTACCAGCACGTGGAGGCACACAGCTAACATTAAAGCATACGCTGGCTGGCTCTCTCCAAGACAGAACTCAGGAGAGGGACAAAAAGAAAGTGAAAGAGACATGGACAGCAATGTCTTGTCTTAACCAGATTTGACAGACAACCAACTTCAAACTGACAATTTTGATGACATTTAGGAACGATCAGATTATATATCTGACGTCAAAGAACTGATATTAAGGAAAAAGTATTGTATTTTGCATATACATGAATATCAGAAAGTAGAGGTAAATTCTATGATATTTGAGGGTTCCTTTAAAATAAGATAGAACATGCTGGGCCTGGTAGTGCACTTATTCAATCCGAGCACATGGGAGGCAAGAGTAGGTAGATCCTTGTGGGTTGAAGACCAGCCTAGTGCACATAATAAATTTCAGACCAGTCAGGGCCACATGATGAGACTTTCTCATGAAAAAACAGATAAATCCCCCAATACAAACACACACACACACACACACACACACACACACACACACACACCCCACACATGGAGGATAAGGAAGGCAGAAAGGGGTGAAGTAGATAGGGTCCATAATGAAATACAGCATATATACATAGCTTAAATATTGAACCAGAAAAGAGAAAGATTCTGTATATGCTTCAATAAACATTGGAAACAAAATTAGTGAAATAATTCAGCACAAAAAGACAAGTATTACAAGTTATTAGGGCTGGAAAGATGGCTCAATAGTTAAGAGCACTGGCTGCTCTTGCAGAAGACTCATGTTCAATTTCCAGCACCTACACAACAGTTCACAACAATCTGTAATGCCAGTTAGGGGATATAATGCCGACTTATAGCCTCCACAGCCACCAGGCTATGTCTGCAATGTACATACATACAGGCAGGCAAAAACACTCATACAAATAAATAAAAATAAACCTTAAAAAAATGTACTTGATGGGTGGTGGTGGCACAAGCTTTTAATCCCAGCACTTGGGAGGCAGAGGCAGGTGGATCTCTGTGAGGTCAAGGCCAGCCTAGTCTACAGAGTCAGTTCCAGGACAGCCAGAGCTGTCACAGAGAGAAACCCTGTCTCGAAAAAAAAAAAAAATTCTCTATTAATAAGCATAACTTTCACACAAAGATACTTCCTTTTTTCCTCCTACAGTACACAGATTATTACAAAAAGCCACAACTAGTCAAAACACAGAGAACAACTGACTGTGAGCTGCCCAGCCCCAACTGATACATCTCAAGCACAATCCTTCCATCTCAGACTCAGAGAACATCTCAGAAGAGGAACATAGAAAGGTAAGAGTCCAAAGACCAGGAAGTCAGTTGCAAGATGATATTTTAGAGATGCGACAGAAAAGGCTCCACCCATGAAATTTCAATAATATGGGTGCTTACACAAGACCTGAACAATAACACCAATTGACATGCCAACATGGATGGGAGAAATTGCAGAGGGCCCTACCCTAGATGAAGAACTACAGGCAATTAAGAACAACTGAGAGATGGAGAATTAGTCTTCAGATATAAGCACCCTAAAGTGGTCAGTCCTAAAAAAAAAAAAACATACATATAAGTAAAATTAAATGGACTCAGCAGGCTACATTTGTATAGTTATTTGCATATACATGTAGCAATAATTAAGTGTTAGAGGCTATGAATTTGAAAAGAGGAGTTAGGAGAGGTTAAAGGAAGGAGGAGGGAAATGGTGGAATTAATATTTTAATTAAATTTAAAAATGCTACATTATGCTACTTGAATGAGATACTAAAACTGATAAATTCATATTATAAAGCAGGCAAGAAGTTACTAGGGGACTGGAGTGTGGGAGATGGGTGAATTAATGTTCAGTGGTTACAAAGCTTTTGCTAATGAAAGAGACTTAAGTGACAGCCACTAAATATTATAGTTCAATTCATGTCTCCAATCTAGTGAGTGTATGTATGTGTGTGCTGTTGCTGCTGCTATTGTTAAGACTTAATTATGTAAGTCCAAGCTGGCACTGAACTTGTGATCCTCCTGCCTTAGACTCCTAAGATCTGGATTGTCGTCATTCACTACCATGCCCGGCCTCCAATCTCATTTCAACATGAAATCAGGGAAACTTTGCTTTTCCTTTAAAATTATTACTACCCATGAATGAAGCTTAGTTTTCACATCAGCACAGGATGGAAGCTATTAAATTACTATGAATTATTTTTTTCATTTAGAGGTTCTACTTACCTCTGCTTTATAATAGCGCTGAGTATATGTTAAATCAATTATCAATCCAAGTTCTTCATTTTGTTCTTGAATTTTATTAAAAAGATCCAAAGGAGAAAAGTACTCTTCTGGCATAAGCTCTGCTTCAAATTTCTGTCAGAGTGAGGTAAGAGAGAGCAAACCTGCTTCAAGTCCTGCACACAGTTTGTATTTATTCCAGCCCCATGAGATACACACACAATGAGAACAAGGGCAGTTTCCTCTCTTCTGGAAGCTCGTAACAATCTCTCCTTCGGTGGTAGTGGGGGGGGGACTCACTTTGATATACATATTTCTGTGTTTGTGTCCACTGCCTGAATGCCTTCAGAATGTCCTAGTCAGTATTAACGAGGTATGAAAAAAACAAAAGCCTCTTCCTATCTGTCTAAGCCTCAGAACTAAAATTCATTTCACAAACAATTCCCCACAAGTTGTACTGGATTTCCAGGGGAGGAACTGCCCTATCAACACAGTGGCTACTCAACTATCTGGTTCAGTCAGGTGGACAAAAAACACAACACAGTTACAATTATTCTTCATATTATAGTTAGGGCATTATACTGTCTTTTCCTTAAAATGAGATACAGATGTAGACTTTACTGCTCTGTGAATCTCATTTCATGTTAGTAGTGACATAAGATGGGAACTAGAGAGCAACCAGGTTGAGAGTCAGTGTTCTACAAGGGGAATTTAGACTTCTGAAAAAATCCTGCATTAGCTTTCACTTACCTTTTGCAAAGGAACTTTGAAAGCAATGAAACGAGTCCCAGGCATCCGCTGTCCAACTGGGAGATAGTCTCTCCACCTATGACAGAGTATTTGTTAGTCAAACTGAATACCAGCCTTGCCTCCCCAACAGAATAATGGGGCACCTAGCACACACAGAAAGTCTCTTTATGAGAATGTCTGCTCTGCCCTTTGCCACTCAACCTATTCTCTTTCAACAAATAACAACCTACACTTTCTTCTTCCTGTTTCCATCTTGAAAACAGATACAAACAACACAAACAAGAAATTCCTAAAACCAAAATGGCCAGAACTTTCACGTTCCTGATAAACCCAGCCCAGCATCAAATACCAAGGTGATATATCAGACATGAAGGCAGAAGGGGATTGTGTCAGAGGAAGGTGACTAAAGGGGGCGGAGGACACAAGAGGCAGAGGAGGGGAAGGTTATGTGTGGGGGTCAGTGTGAGCAAAGAATAATGACATACATGTAGAATGTCACAATGAGATTCACATTTTGTGTGGTAACTAAAAATATTAAAACCAGCCAGTAGAAATGCATACCTACACACTGTCTGTGAGCTCAGATTCAGTGCGCAGTGTTTGTGGTTTCCACAAGAGTGACAATTCAATGTGTAGAAGTCTGCTAGTTCTTCTACGAATAGACAACCTGAATTTCCAGGGGGCAGCCTGGAGACTCACAGATGAGTTGGTCTCTGTCCATGAATTACAAATAACCAGGGTTCATCCAGTATAGAACATCAGAAAGTAAGGACTGAGCGCAAGAGATTGGGCTGGAGACACAGACAACCTCTGAACAGTGAAACCTAGTGTGTAGGCCATGACAAAGAGTTGGCTTTTTATTTTATTTAAAATAATTTATTTGGCTTTTCATGACAGGGTTTCTCTGTCTAGCTTTGGAGTCTTTCTGAACTCACTCTGGAGACCAGGCTGGCCTCGAACTCACAGAGATCCACCTGCTTCTGCCTCCTGAGTGCTGGATTAAAGGTGTGCGCCACCACCATCCGGTTGGCTTTTTAGTTTTAAAGTCAAGCTTTACCTTACATCTAAGAGCTTTTTCTCAATTACTACTTGACACTCAGTTTAAATGATTAACTATATAAGAGTATGTTAAGAATGGATTAGAAAGAAATGAGAGTGAAAAAAATGGACACCTGTCTTCTGCACCGTCAAACAAGTTCTGCACTGGGCGACGATAGAGGAAAGCTGACAGACTCTAAAATTACTCAGGAGATAAAAGGAAGTGCTTACTCAAGTCTGAGAAGTCAAAGAGGGCATTATGTCCATTCTGGATGTCAGGTGTCGCTCCTTAGTGGAGGTGAAAGCTTACTGAAGTCTGGGAATGGGGAGAGGACAGTCTGTCTACCCTGGGTTTTATCTTCCAATTGCTTAATTGTGGAGATAAAAGATTTGTTTAATTCTAGTAAGAGGATAGGCCATGTTGACCACGCCTGACTTCAGCTATTCCATATTTGTGGAGATAAAACAACCGACTTTTGAAATACGGGAAGGGGAGCCGGCAGTCGCAAGCAGAGTTCACACCATCTGTGAGCAAAACCGTACACCTAAAGACTGGCACGGGCAGGGAAGCCTCCCTCAAATGACAGCTCCGCCTCCAGAGTTCTAGAAGCCACAGAATCTCTCCGGCCGGGAATGAGCGCAGGGTGTCTCCAGCTCAGACCGGATGTCTCACACAGCGCCTCAACACGACTCCCAGACCGGCAGCCGCGCCCCGAAGCGCACTTCCGCGCCGGCCCGAGCTCCACAGACAGAGCCCCGTCAGGACGAGACTGAGACCTTAGAATGCCGGGGCTGGGGAGGTTCGGCGCGGAGGACTCTGGGAGGCGGAAGAGAGCAAGGCCGCGGAGAAGACACTAGGCCTCCACGGCAGCCGGAACGACCCAGCCCGGAACCAAAGCACCATACCTTTCCGGGATGTAGTTTTTGCCCTTCTTCTTCTTCGATCGGCCCCGACCGCGACCATTGCGGCCGTAATGCCGCTGGCTCATGTGAGCGTAGCTATGCCGCCCACCCAACGCCAGACGGGCCAGAGCGGCCAGGGTGGCGACCTCAAGGCCGCCGGAAGACGCCGAGGGATCCAGAGCGCCCTCTCAGAAACGCGCTGTGGTCGACGCCTCTCTACTTAGCGTGCGTCGTGGCCCGCCGTGATGACGTCACACGGCGCCAGCCCTTGGTTCCAATAGTGCCACCTGTAGCTGGAGGCCGGTATCGCGCGTACCCATCTGCTGACCTGCCCCGCCCCCCATCCCTGCTTCTTCACCCGTAGTCAAACGTTTACGTTTTTCTATGTTGTTCATGGATTTTACTTTCTCACATAGGTGTGACCTTTTGCCGCCGAAAAGAAATATACCAAAGGTTTTATACAACATATTTCTCCTTATTTAAATATATATTTTTTCTAGTTTTAAATGGCATAGGGCATTTAATTGATCATAATTGACATAATTAAAAGTACCAACCTTTAACCAATCTCAGTTCCTGATCCCTCCCCTCTTTCTGCTCCATCTTCCCCCCACCCCATCTGCTCATCCATTCCTCAAAGAGGGTGAGGCCTCCCATGGGGAATCAAGAAAGTCTATCACATCACTTGAGGCAGGACAAAGGCTCTCCGCCCTGTATCTAGGCTGAGAAAGGTATCCCCCCATAGGGAATAGTCTCCAAAAAAATCACTTCATGCACTAGGGATAAATCCTGGTCCCATTGCCAATGGCCCCACAAACTGCCCAGGCCACACAACTGGTCACCCACATTCAGAGGGCCTAGTTTAGCTCAGGTCAGCTCTTTCTGTGGGTTTCCCCATCATGGTCTTGATCCCTTGACTCATATTATTGCTCCTCCCTCTATAGGACTGGACTTGAGGAGCTTGGCCCAGAGCTTAGCAGTGGATCTCTGCATCAGATGCAAAAAAAAATCTTAATAAAATATTTGTAAGGTGAATTCAAGAAAATTACATCAAACTGTGGTTAACAACCACGATCAAGTAGGTTTCATCCCAGAGATGCAGGGAATGTTTAGCACATGCAAGTGAATGAATATAATAAATCAAAAATGGACTGAAAGACACAAATCACAAAGTAATCTTAGTAGATGTAGAAATGGCTTTGGATGAAATTCAAACTCTCTTCATGAAAAGCCCAGAATATGTTTCAATATGTTAATGACTATATGCAATAAACCAATATTACACTACATGGGGAAAACTCAAGCCATTTCCACTAACATGATGAGCGAAACAAGGGTGTCCAGTTTCTCTACTCTCATTGGGCGTACTGCTTGAAGGCTTTGCTACAACAGTAAAGCAAGAAGATAAAATGTAGGGATACAAATAAAGATGCACTGAATGCACCTAGAATTGGGTGCCGCAACTATGGAGAGGAAATCACTTGAAAAGCTGACTGTAGAAACTGCGGACCAGGGTCAGCCAGGATTTGTTTAAATGGAATTGGAACACAGGAAGTAGATACTATAATGTGTCAATATTGGAGTTCAGTGAAAATGATTCTACCACAATACCCAGCTAACATTTCTTATTTAAATTACCACACACTTGGAGTTGTGGGAGCATTTTGTGGTACGTGTCTTTAATCCCTGCACTTGGGAGGCAGAGCAGAAAGATCTTTGTCACTTCAGGGCCAACCCGGTTTACACAGTGAGTGAGATCCTGTCTCAAAAGAAGCAAGTAAATTAATTAAAATAAAAAATAAATGACAAACGTCCCTCATTGTCTTAGTCATTTGAACATTTGGTCTCCAGTTGGTACAGGAGTTGGGGGAAGTCTTGGAGGTGTGGCCTGGGTGGAGGAAGTATGGTACAAGGGGAGGATTTGATATTTAAAAACATCTCCAATTCGGTTCACTCTCCACTTCATGCTGTGGTTCAGAATATGAGCTCTCAGCCTCCTGTTCCTCGCCCCGTCCTGCTACTTGCTACCATGCCTCTGCTCTGCCATTATTGACTCTAACCTTCTGGAACTGTGGTCCAGCTAAACTTTCTTCCATAATTGCCTTGACTGTGGCGTTTTTTATCACAACAACAGAAAAAGTAACTATTATGGTGTCTTTCAAGCTTAGTCCCCAGTTAAGGTTTGCTGCTAGGTGATGGAACCTTTAAAAGTGGGTCAGGGCTTCGAGTCATTGGGAGCACATCATTGCAGGGATAGGGAGAGCCAGCCCACCCCCTCCCCCACTTCTCTCTCTTCCGATATAGGGTCTTACTGTGTAAGTTTGCTGTCCTGAAACGTGCTATTTAAACCTGGTTAGCCTTGACTTCACTCCACCTGTGTCTGCCTCCCGAGTGCTGGGATTAAAGGCACACACTACCACACCAGATCACTCTCATCTTTTTAAAGGCTCGGACCCTCGCAGCCCGTTCAGCGCCGAGTGGGCTAAATACCCAAGAATGTCTGTACTGCTGATCCTACTGCCTTCACCTACCAGTTTGTGGGATTACAGGCCATCTATCATCACACCCCTTGGATTAGAAAGTGCTAAAGAGGGATCCCAGGACTTCATGCATAGTAGGCAACTACTACCAGCTGGGCCACATCCCCAACATGGCTTCCTGTTCTTTGTCCAGTCTCGAAGTGAGCAGCTGCTCTACTGAGTGTCCCTTGCCATGACATCCTCCCATAACTGCCTTGATGTGGAAGCTCCAGCACTAGGGGAGCTTTCTCTTTAGAAGATGTTTCTTATGATAAAAAAAATGATGACTACCACGCCACAGTTCTCTCAATCTTATCACAGCACCCCCTTACCTGTGGTGACTGGGAATTCTCTTGATTTCCATGAGAACATAGATAAAGCAGAGACTTGTTTGGTTTATAGAAGCATACATACGTGTGTCTATATATTCTATAGGTATAATATGGAAGTGGGCTATCTGAAGTAGGATACTAAGCTAAAAGGAAAGTGAATATTTTCAAACATTCACTGATTTAGGTCATATATCCATATGTTAAATCTTCCACATATAGTCACAGAAAAAAATCATATTTCCAAGTAAGGGGACAGGGTCTTCAAGGTGTGTCTCTTTTTACTCTATGCACCCCGGAACCCTGCATGCAGAGGTCATATCTCAGGGCCTCATGTTGACATTTTCTGTACATCTTAGTCATTCGGACCTCTTTCCTTAAACTCTTTACTGAGAAAGTACTGAAATGCAGCAGATGTTGAACAACTGCCACCACTGCGGTGAGAAAGAGCATCCTCAGGGTGGGTATCCTTTATCACTGTGGCTGATCTGAACACTCCAGCGCATCCCAGGGCTGCTCAGACTAAATCCGCAGATCCCGAGCACTGGGTGGGAGAAGAGCAGCAAAGAGGAACAGGATGGCAGGTTTGGGGTCAGGTCATGTGTGGCATGACTGCCTCTCCCGACCTGTCTTCTTTCTTGTTCTTCTGACATTAAACCATTCTAATTCTCCATCTCAGTTTTGTAGCTCAGGTTATAAATGTCATTTCTCAGCCGGGCGGTGGTGGCACAGGCCTTTAATCTCAGCACTCGGGAGGCAGAGGCAGGCGGATCTCTGTGAGTTCGAGGCCAGCCTGGTCTACAGAAGTTAGTTCCAGGACAGGCTCCAAAGCTACAGAAAAACCCTGTCTCAAAAAAACCAAAAAAAAAATGTCATTTCTCCAAAAGCAGAGAACCTAAAGAGCCACTTCCTACAAGAGGTCCGGCAAGGAGTACAGATAGTGCCTGCCAGACAAGGCTGGTGTGAAGAGCAGAAAGAAAGGAGGGCTGTGTGACAGCTACTCGGCCTGTGCCTGGGGACTGCGCTGTGGTCACCAATGGAAGTCGGTCACTTTAATGGTCTAGGTCCTTTTGGGGACATAAAGGCCAGTGACTCAAAAAATGTCAACCACCAATGGTGATGTGAAGGATTCCCACAGGTTGACCTTATGTGTCCAAGCAGGTGACTTAAGGACAGAGACCTGGGACCTTTATGCCATATTTGCAGCAAGAGACCTGACCAGAGTGACGGTTTGCACCAGAACATGGGTGTTTCAGATCTCAGATGTGGGAAGTTTAGATCCTGTGCTTCTCCCAAAATCTTTCTGTACTCATTTCTCTTCCTAGTCATATGCAGCAGGTATAGTTAGTTTTGGCTCATGGCACCGTGGTGTTCTGGCGTTGGACCAAAATGTACGCTGGAGTCACACACACACACACACTGCTGTCAGGTTGTTGTGTATGCTGGTGGTGATGGTCTGCAGAGGGCTGAGCTGTTCTGTTCCAAACATTTATCTTTTTAAAAGATTTTATTTGTTTTTATGTGCATTGGTATTTTGCCCACATGTATGTCAGTGTGAAGGTACCAGATCCACTGGAATTGGAGTTACAGACAATTGTGAGCTGCCATGTAGTTGTTGGGAATTGAACCCGAGCCTTCTGGAAGAGCAGTCAGTGCTCTTAACCACTGAGTCATCTCTCCAGCCCCTAAACATTTCTAAAGTACCAAGGAAAAGGAGTTTATTACTTGGTACTTTGTGTTAAAATGTCACTAAATTCGGGTGATCTTCAGAAACAAAACTGAAGGTTTTATTATCAATTCAAATTCACTAGAGACTGCTGATCAGCAGGGATAATGTTTACTGCCAGCCTTGCCTGGGATCCAGAACATGCATGACAGCACAGCTACAGACAGGACTTAGATGACGGTTATCTGAGACAGACAATGAAGGGCCACCAAGATGTCAGGAAAGAATAAAGTGCAGGCCTGAGAGACCCTCAGTCCATAAAGTTCTTGTTAAACCCTGTGAGGACCTGAACTTTAGGCACTGGATCCAGGCTTTTATAATAATATTAATAAAATAATAATACTAGACCGGGCATGGTGGCACATGCCTTTAATCCCAGCACATGGGAGGCAGAGGCAATCGGATCTCTGTGAGTTTGAGCCAGTCTGGTTTATAGAGTGAGTTCCAGGACAGCCAAAGATACACAGAGAAACCCTATCTTGAAAACTCAAAATAATAGTAATAGTAATAATAATAATAAATCCACACAGGGTGGTATATGCTTGCAACCCCAGCTCTGGAAAGCCAAAGACAGCCAGCCTGACCAGTGGTGTGAGTTTCCAGACCAAGGAAAGATCCTTTCTTAGAAAAAAAATGAGGTAGGC